GCAATAGCTGCAAATCTAACATCAACATCCTTAAACCGGTCTACTACCACGCAGTCAGAGCAAGTTGTTATGCTTTTCGGACCAAGCTCATAAATAATATTACAATTGAAACTGTTCTCCCAACTTTAGAAAATAGACTGTATGAGTTAAAAGCTAAAATAGTCCCTAAGCTTCTTAATTCAAACAAATCTATTCTCGGTGATGACGTGAGGAAGATTATTATTGCGAAGAAAATTCCAAAGTCATCATCTGCAATTGACTATTGTTTGTAGGTCGCAAAGGAGTTGAACATTTCCTCAAATATTTTCGGCTCTTTTGGTGTTAAAACTCCATGGATTTTGAAAGACTGCTCTTTTCACATTTCGCAGTCTACGCACAAGAAAGAAAATACTCCAAATTACGTCTTCAGGAATCTAATAGCTGAAAAAACCCAAATATTGGAAAGTACTGGTTCGAATCTTTTATACACAGACGGCTCAAAATCTTCTGGTCTGCCTCCTGCTTGTGCCGTACTTCAACTTTCACAACCGAAACCAGAGCTATCGTTCACGCTGCGCACCTTGCCCATAAAAACAAACTCAAAACCGTCATTGTTACCAACAGTCTGTATTACAAGCTATTGGGAACCCTTCGACTTCGAGATGGAGCACCATCAACAAATTAAGGAATATAATTGCTACACCCAACGGAAAAATTAAAATGTTATGGGTACCAAGTCACATCGGTTTAGTGGGAAATGAGCAGGCTGATCGAGCGGCAAAGGATGTTGCTTCTGCTCCTCTAATTATGGATGATGTCATGGAAAAGTTGGATCTTCAAAGATACATTGGAAGAAAAGTTAAAGAGGAAATTGCAGAAGAACATTTACAATACCATCATCAACACTACTCTTCCATTAACCCTCAATTAACTCCACCTTTATATCCAACAAATGTTGAGAAGTTGAAGATCCAAACATTTTCGAGAATTCGCCTTGGTCATACAATTGCAACTCATCAATGGATCTTGAAGAAGTCTTCCTCCCCAATCTGCAGTTGTGGACAAACTCTCACCATAAAGCACGTTCTCTGCGACTGCCTTAACTTTTGCTTGGCTAGAAGTATTGCATTTGGAACGATTAACCCTTTGCACATTCTACAATCAGCTTCAGAACAGAATATCAATTCAATATATTACTTTTTTAATACTACTAAGCTCATTATCTAATGTCCATTTATTTAAATTAGAGGCGATAGCCTGTGTTGCTAGTGCTCAATGTCTTTTTTTTTAGTCTAAGAATTTATTTCATTAATCTAAAATTATAATAATAATAATAATAATTTTCCTTTCTTTTAAGAATTTTTTTCTTACCGGCTGGAAGCGAGGAAGGAATCGTGTAGACAAGCAATTTGGAATATCGCATTTCAATAGTATTGTTATAAAATTCGCTTTTCTAAGATACTGGTATACCTACCTTAAATTAGAGCCGATAGCCTGTGTTACTAGTGCTCAATGTCTTTTTTTAGTCTAAGAATTTATTTCATTAGTCCAAAATTATAATAATAATAATAATAATATGGTTAATATTATACTTACAAAATACCCTAAAATATATAATTGTATTAAAAATGTTAACGTCTGGTCACCTTAACTGCAAGTATTGCGCGGATATATTGAACACTTGAAAAATCAGTCATGGTAAAAAAAGCTAAGCCAAAGCCATTTTAGAATACCATTTTGTAGTCAAAAAAGGCTATAAATCTACAAATATAACTTAAATTTTCGCATATAATAAAAAGGATATTTTATTACTGTTTTCGTTATAGTTAATACAATAAAACAAATAGCAATAATAAAATTACGCGAAAATGAATCGTAATGGTAGAGTAAATCAATTCATTTAATTACATTATTTTATTTAACTTAAGAGTTTTTTCTTACTCTTTTATTTTCCTTCAGACATGACATGATTATTATTTTTATAATGGTGGTGCCAATGGCCGTTTTTATTCCTTTTCATTTATTTCATTTTATGCAATTGTTTATATTTATTTATTTATATAAGTATTTATATATATATATACTGTTTTACTACGCACAACAATGCAACGTACAGAACAGTATCATAATGATTACTACAGGTGCTTTATATAGGCAGTAAACCTGACAACTACAGCAAGTGATTTTTCTTGTGCAAGCTTTCAATTTGAATTTCTTGAAGAAGAAAAAGAAAATTAAAAAAAAATTATTGATCCGTCGAATTTGCTGACTAACAAAAGAAGAAGAAGACTACGCGTTGCTTTAGAATTTCGCTTTGAAAAAATAACTTTTCTCCGATCAGCAAGAAGAATCGTTATTTGTTAATTGACGATTATTTTACATATTAAGCTGAATTATTATAAAAAAGCCTTTGAAAGTGTGCAAAGTCACACCTCAATAACACATTGGTAATTGAAATTTAAAATTCAATACGAAATCATTTCAAAAAGGAAAACAAGCAACAAGTAACCTTTCGTACAACGCAGCTGATACAAAAAGTGCATTATATTCCAAATAAAAAAAAATCAATTGAAATATCTGAAAAACTGGAACATATGAAAAAAGGTACAAGTTACATCCTACTACGGACATATTATGATTCCCTTAGCTTAGTGTTTTTTTTCCTTGTCTAGGTTTTATATATATCAAGAGAATGGATTAATTAAACGGGAAAAAATCCAGCTGATGCAACAGAAATGATCAAGTTGGTTTGAAATGAAACCGCATTAAGCTGTGAACCAGAAAGTAGTGTCTATTAAACGTCCTTCGTCTAAGCATACATCAGTTTCTAAAGCTGTACTATACTACTTTTAGATGTTTTATGGAAGTTAAACGTAGGCGGCAGTTCAGATTCCATGTTGTCCCTTTTTTTCTAGTCCTTCGGGATACATAGATTGAATTTCGAGTTAGAACTTGATTGATCGTTCTTTAAAAGTGGCTCCCGTCTAATCTGTCTTTAGCTAATTGCACCAATTTCATATGTTTTCTTTTGAATTTCCTATGCCGACCTTTGTGCCGACCTTTGATTCTTAAACAATTTCATATGTTTTCTTTTGAATTCCCTATGCCGATCTTTGCTAAATAAAAGTATGATCTTAAGAGCCGAACAGTTCATTATAAACATTAAGTATATAGGGCAACGCCCGGTAATTGTAAAGTAATTTTGCAACCAGGCGAGGGTCAAAACCACTTGTAAGGGGAAAACTCTCAACATTTCTTAAGTATGGAGCACGCGAAAGAATTCTCTAAAAAAATGATCGCGAAAAACGGCGTTCACAAGCATATCTGTTAATAACGACTGCTTGCAATTGATAGGGATCCCCAGCAAGGGTTACCTGGCCACGCTCTTTTGAAACTTGAACAACAGCAACAATAATTTCAGTTTCTGTGTACCGGCCGGCTTCATCAATTAGCACATGCGTAAAATGATTGAGTGGAAAACCCATTTGCAAAAAATCTCCTAGGGTAGCGCAAGTATCAATCGTTACTCGATGGCACCCTAAATACTTCATTTGACATTTTGGTTTGTGTCCGGACTCAGTCACAATCATACAATCTTTACAGGTGTCATCAATGTAAGTATCCGCTGTTGCGCAATACGGCATCAAATGCTCTGGTCTGCTTTTTTACGGTAACGACCCCTAAAGGAAACATTAAAATTATTTTGAGATATCACAGACATTATACTAGCTACCATATATGACATATATTTCTTTTAAAATATACCAAAGAGTCTCCTAAAGAAAAACTCAATTTAACCAGGATATCATAAAGAGAATATTCGAAAATAAAAGAAGACATGAGAGGGTTCATGACGATTGAACGACGACGGTTGAACAATGGGATAATGGTGGAAACCACAATGAAAAGTATTGATTTTTTCACACAGGGAGAAATTTTACAGTACATAAGGAGAAATTATTAGACTTCTTTGTATTTCTGCTATTAAGCCGAAAAAACATACAAAAGCCGAAATCACAAATGTCATAGATAACTTGAGAATGTTAGGAATTCATAGGCGGAAACAAATTTTAAATACTAAAATTAGTGGCAAATTACTTTATATGTAATTTTCCACAAATTTTCAGGAAAACAAATATAACTATTAAGAAAATTAAATTCGGTCGGGATCGGATCTCTCATGCCCAAAAAAAACAAAAGGGCAATATCCCCATGCTCTATATTATGCAGCAGGCGTAGTAGATTTCTTCTATTTGCAAAATTTAACTTTTTGTCACAGATAGATGTGGGCGTTGTAGGCGTGTCCTTTGAAAAGTTTAAGTCAATTCCGAATTATTTTGCAAATTTTCGGACAACATCTGCATTTTTGCTAATGAAGGAATGTTATCGAACAGGCCGACATATTTAGGTGGATTCAAGGGTTGTAACTGGTCAAGAGTTTTTGTAGTTATTTTTTAATGACCTATATCGTTGAAGCGGTACATTTTATATACTGTTATAAAAAATGCTTTAATTTAATATGGCCAATTTTGCAATTCATTTGCAGCAATTTTAAACAGATATCTGTTTTGAACAGATTTGAGCTCTATAACATTTCTATACTATGCACGCTTTTCTAAATGTCATTATTCGTATATTAATTCTAATAATATAAGAATAATGCAAATGTTAACAATGAAATAATACATAATAATTATAAAAATACCTAAAATATATATATATATAAAGATGTATAAATAAGTAACAGAACTTCTTTTTCACTCTGAAAAGTTGCAATGCTTTAATCGCGCTTACTGAAACACAATGAAGGAAATTTGCTTAAACATATGTTTAGGAATCAGGTGTTTCAGTTGTATAATTACAGACGTGTTTTATGCGTTCTTCTTCTTCTGCTATTCAACAAATCAATAACTGTGGATTTTATTGTCATCTCTGTGTTTTATAAGGAGAAGTTAACGAAAAAAAAAAGAATAAGTTTGCGTTTTTATAAATGCACAAAGTATGTAAAATATTTTTTTCTTTCTAGAGTGTGTATGTTTCTACCCGAGAATTTATGCTCGTAAGAGCATCTGTGTGGATCTGTGTATATTCGTATGCAGTTACAATACGTCCATCAATTTACGTCTTTTATTAAATAGTTTGTTGCTTATGTGCTAAGCATTTTCATACGAACACTAAAAATGAATGTATTTTGGTTTTTTCCGGAAATTTGAAATTAATGGTACAAAAAACCATTTAAAGTGATAGCAGAAGCAAGCGAAAAGATTGTAAAAAAGTGTAATAAAAATAAAACGAGAAAAGAGTACTGTATCTAATTTTACTGAAATGCTGAAATGCCGTTTATGTGCATCAAAAATGTTGCGTTTGTTACAGATTTAAACTATGCTGACACACCACACCTAGGTTAAAATTACCATTATTTTCTCACCTATTTTAGTTAGTGCTACTCTCTGATTGACACCTAGTCAAGATGAATATGCGCCCCCCCAACAAAAGTACTTTATTAAAAGTTGTTATCTTAGGCGATGGGGGTGTTGGTAAATCATGCTTAATGAATCGCTTTGTGTCAAACCGCTATGATGAAAATAATTTTCATACAATCGGTGTAGAGTTTATGAACAAAGACTTTAGCGTCGATGGTGAAAAGTATACATTGCAGGTGAGTGATAAGTCTTCATTCAATGAAAAAAGTATCTATGAGTCTGGTACGTACAATAGCTGTGATAACACCAGAAATTCCAATTAGATGTATTGTGGAACATTTGTATATGGCTTAGCATTCGGTCAGTGGATTGGGACGCTGTTAGAAAGAAAAGAGATCTTAACGAGTGCTGCATGCCTTTTTTTTAAAGCTTCAACCCTATTAAAGAATATAAGAACAGCAATTATAATTTCGAAAAGATAAGATCATGAGCCATATCTGAAGTTATTAAATTATGTTTATGCTTCGTTCAACGATCTCATATCAAGATCCCCGCTAATTTATATAAGAATGTCAATTAATCGGTTTCACTTAAATCCTCTTCTATTTCTGTCTGATATATGGAAATACTAAACATTTCATAACAACAATTCGTTTTTGAGTTTCTTTATATAAAGTATTACTTCATTCCTTTTTATATCCATCACCGAACGACGATGATTTACTAGATTTGCCGTCTCAGTTTGGACTATTTAGAAATATATATGTATATACATTTTTATTTCTTAGAATAAATAGAATACTATATAACATAAGAAAATATAAATAAATATATACATATTTATATTTCTTTATATATATCATATATATTTCTACATATTTATATTTCTAATCCGCGTAAAATAAACATATTTTCCACTGGCACAATATTCTCAAGTCGTCCTTATTTCGAACACTCCTATTCCAAGATAAAGGCAAAAATGATATACATTCTGGTAGTATGGTACTATAGGGCGAGTTTGAAAATGGCTGAAATTTGCCACGGCCAGTCCCGTAGCAGACAAAAAGGGGCTTGCTACGGTTTACAGGAGATATTAGTATAAAACATGGTACATGCGTTTCTGAGAACTAACTTGACGACCAGTGTAAAAACGGTCACCATCATCCTATAATGTATGTAATGTAATTTTGTTTAGATGATGGATACCAAAGAAACTTTTTCTTAATTTTTTCAACAAAAAAGAAAAACAATTTTTTTAGTTACTTAATAATAACTTTGATTTGATTTTTAAAGTCGTTGAGGGGAAAAAATCGTATATGTAATGAATTTTAATGAAATACGCTTGACATGAATTAAGCTTCAAATACGACAAATATTATGTCGATTAATTAACGCAGCGTCATAATCATAGAAAAGAAATATTCTCATAATTAAATTTCAACGTTCAAAACAAATAAATATTTCCATTGTTCGTTTGTTTATAAAACAAATTGTTTGTTTAAAAGAAAAGTAGAACGTTTTCTATTTTACTATCACTACTGCCTGAAAATTTAAGCTACGCAAAGCTTGTTTAATATTTCCTTCGGTATAGGAGGTTGGCCGTGGGACTCCTTTGAATTTAGCATGCGCGGGAAATTTTCCAGTACGTCTGTCATCTTTCAATGTTTCTCACGATGTGCCATCAGCAACTTTTTGTGCTGACATTTTTTCATTGTGGGATCCAAATCACTTTCGATTTCAAACTCTGAGGTATATCGTACTCTTTGTTTGCTAGAAGTTATATAATAACCACTACGACTGGCACTTGGTTCACTTTCAGATAGAAAACAAGGTCTGCGTTTTCTAGAAACCGAATGAGATACATCTGATTCGTTTTCGCTTATTCGCGTCAGCTTTTTTCACAATTCAATATTTCGTAGATTTTTTACCATTATAGCGATAGAACTAAACTATTTACTTACTTATTTTCATAATAAGATTCAACTGTCTTGACTTGATAGGTTTTGTCTTCCGCATAATTCCTTTGCCGATACCTAACTTTCAGAAAAAAGAAATTCTTTATCATTAATCTCCAAAATTAATTATTGTGATAATTTCATGCTAATTTCCTTTTACCTGGAAGTGTTCTGGGACCGGCTGTTATAATTTTCGGCAGACGCCAGCAGTATGGGCAGGTAAAGCATCATGAATCTGTATTTGGTTTTGCGATTTTTAGAATTTGTCCTTCTTAGAAAATATTTAATGAGTGGGGAGGGGAAGAGTCAGTGCATTTCGTAATTTTTTGAAAAACCTACACATATTTTTAAAAAAAATTGTTTGACTTCTCTAAGTATATAGTAGTAAAACCGTAAGTGAGTCAAATTGACTCGCTCGATAATCAAGGCAAGGTTCAGACTCTTATCTGTCTGTCTATTCATTCGCAAATTTTTCTCTGTATTTGTCGCAAACAATTTTAAACAAAAAGCTTAAGTAAAGTTTAAAGAACAACACCTTCAACTGCAAAAAAAAAAAAACCTAATACTTTGAGGTTTCCGCTGATACCAAAGTGTCAATTAAATGTTCTTATGCTGTCTGCATAAGAAATAGTGAATTAAAAGCTGCTAGGCGGGATAAAAAGTGTTACGATCATTTTCTAGGGTAGTGGATGTGAAAAATTGTAGCTTTTTGCTTTTATGCGTTAGCTCTATTAATGGGCTTTCAGAAAAAGATACCAACGTAAACAAGCGTGACCTTCTCCGGTGTTTTATTATCGTAAAAAATCTTTTTAAAGAAATTTCATAAATTTAAAATTCTTTTTAGAATTGCCTTGGATTAATCTATGTGTTTGCATTCTTGAAATTTTGTAAAATCGTTAGCATACACGTTTGCGATGTCAAAAAGTTCACTGCTCTCTAGCTCAACGTCTTTTCCGCAACCTCCATAACATTCAGGTAAACAATCAACTGCTATGTGACGGTGGAACTCCTTCGTATCTTCGCCGTGGATCAGTGCGCGTTGGCGATATTTTCCGTTTAACAATTGTATAGCCAATTTGATGAACGGCTGAGCATTAGCTGGATTATTGATAATGTGATAAGCTTTCAAACGTAATGGCAAATATGCACATAGATAATCTGTCAGCATTTTCGCAAAATTCGGCGTCATTTGTAAAATTTGCGAGAAGCTCACATTTTTCGTGTCCATGTTGACAACTATCCCATTTATTTGTGTATCAGGCTCCAAACGTAATATATTAATAATTCGTATTTATCCACTTTACTTGTTTTCCAATACTCTGTAGAATCGTAATACTTTGACGTATTCAGTCTTAACAGTTTTAATACACTACAAAAATGAATTACCGATCTTTTGAATTATTACTCGTCGACCTAATTAATCTTCTTGTTTTAAAACGTAAAAGAAGTTCTTTCCTTTAAAATCCTTTAAGTCAATAATCTGAGAATTTTTTAAAAAATTTGAAAATTTCTTTTTTAATTCAAGATGACGGAGGATCTGAAAGTAATAAAAAAATGAGTTTTACATACATAAGAACGATATAATGTAGTATTGAAATAATTGTGTTTTGCGGGAAATAATTATATAATTTTAGAGTCGTGGTAGTGGAAGTAATAATTAAATATGAATAAAATCACGACTAATGATGGCATTATCGGTATTAATTGAAGTTGACTTCAATTACAATTTCATTTCTCAAAAGTGTTACATACCATTATATCAATATCAACATTATGTCAATTTTATGTGGAAAATAAATAATTAATTTAAAATAAATATTACCTTCTCTTTAGCTGATTCTGGGTAAAATTTACATAAACGTAGAAAATTCATTAACCATCTTTCATTATTCTTCGGCATATCCTTCGGAATATTGGTTTCATCTAATTTGAATATGAGAATATTTAAATAAAATTTATCACTAATTCCTCAAAAAATCAAAACTAACTTTCCAATAAATACTTTAGCTGCTTTAAACCAATTAATACATTTTTTGGTGTTTCACGTAATTCTTTCAAAGCCATCTCTGCCAAAATCCGATGAATCTTCGACTTCCACACGAAATAATTTTTCCAATGCAATTTCTGTCATCTTCTGCAAACATTCGACGATCAATATAAAGTAATTTAACAAATTGGTTTGAGCTAAGTTCAAAAATGCATATTTTTAGCATTTATTTGCATAAAAACATTCTATATCCGCTACCTAACGATTAACAGTCTGTTAATTTCTCATTCCATTTATGGCATTGGAGGGATATTAGAAATCGTTCAGAATTTATCAATAAATTTTGTTACCAATTTTTTTGACAAAGATACCAGATATTAAGTCAAATTCATTAATTCGCCCCTTTTTACATAATTACGTGACATTTGTTATAGAATTCTAAAAATATGTTCTTTGCTATGAAAGCAAGTTCGTAAAGAAGCATTGTCTCCTCTCATTCGACGCAGAATTGAAACCATTTAAAAAAAGGATTCATCCAATACATCGGTATGAAACCTGGCTTAAATGATTGCCAGCGAAGAATGGTTCCGATCAGCTGACGCGCAAAACTAATGAAAACCTGTTCTTATGTTGGCCACACACAATGTTCGGTAAAATGAACAAGGTATTTATTGCATTGACTATTTTCCTATAATACTTGGTATATCAAATAAACCACTCAGTCACTAACTTAATATCAAAGTTCATTTAATTTGCAAAAATTATTATACTAAAATTGTCAAACGAGGTTCAAAAATGTGTATAGGCGCCATATATTGTGTACCCTTACGTCAGCATGAATAGTGGAATAAATTTAGCCTAAGAAAATTGATATCGCAATTTACAAGCACTCAATAAGTCAAAGAATCTGAATCGCAACGATGTAGTTGATACAATCATCTCTGCGTTCTTGTGGCATTAAATATGATTTGCAATATATGCGATTTATCCGCATAGCTTTCTGCTAAAAAGTTTTATTAAATATCGCATGTAGGCTATAGCGAAGAGTATAGCCTACAGGCTGGAAATTGAGATATTTTACTTAAATTTTATTGCCAGGGCCAATTTTCGTGAAAATCCTTCTAAGGGTAGGACCCAAAAAATATGCCGAAAAAGTCCAAATTTGGTATATTTAATTTCTTTATGTTAAATTACTATTAACGGTACAATTTTCTTCATGAAGCATTGAAAATTATACATTTCTGTCGTGTGAACTTCAGTTTGCGTTATATGAGGGGATTCAAAAACTGGCCCAGCCGATTCAAAGTTTTTATGCCAATTTAGATTTCCCAAATACTTAGCTACTTTTGCTGAGAAATGTGGAAAGTTTGCAATTTTTTTCCATATAACGACTTTTCAGAATGGGAGATATATGATGAATGGTCGAAAAAGGGGACGGATCTTAACCATTTTCAATAACATTCGTCCTTGGGTTGAAACATTGTACCAAATTTCATTGCAATATCTCAAAAATTGCAACCTGTAGCTTGAACACAAAATTTACATGGACATACATCAGATAGAGGGACGGACAGGCTTTGGTGAATTCAAATTATGATTCTCAATCGATTGGTATAACAAAAGATGGGTCTATCATAAGCGTTTCTGTGTGTTACGTACGACTGCACTAACGTAACATACCTTGTATAAGTGGTACAGTGTATAAAACTAGCAAGTTTTCCATTACAATTTTATAAGGCTTAACATTTCATACATTCCTGTTTCTATAAGCGTATATGTAAGCGTAATATTAGGATCATCATGTGTCATGTACATCTACACTTAATATGTGCCTTGGCACACACAAGTAATACAAGTCGAATACAACACCGTAACTTCGGTCGTATCGGTGCTGAATGAAAATCGATCGAATACGCAATTTCGTTTAGGTAGGAGGGTTTCTGCACTAACTTCTAGTTTCGAGTAAAATATTACTTTCCCCCTCTCCCTATATTATGTCAGCGAGAAACATTGGAATCTATTGCGAATCTGAGATTTGTGATATGCGTAGATCATTCGTCAGGACGGTAAGTATACCCCCTGTGTGGATAGCTTGGCGGCACGGTAGGCTTTACACGCTGACCAACTTAATACACTTATTGTAAGATCGTCAAAAATTTGATTAGAAACAAGGAGATGTCGAGGAACGTTTTTACCAAATTTAAAGCCGATGTTCTATTTTTTGCTGTATACATGTGTACTTTTGGTACGGTTGGATTTTCATATACAATATAATTGGATTTTCAATAAACAAAAAAGTAATTTAATGTATACAGAACGTTTAAAATCGAGCATAAAAACAAACTCAAAGCCGTCGTTTGTACTGATAGTTTATCTGCATTAAAAGCTATACGGAATCCTTCGAGTTCGAAGTGGAGCAACATCAACAAATATCGTTGGTAAACGCACTGCCTTCGGCTAAAAAATTCCATTCTAACAAGGGTGAATTTCATACAATACGTTGCTTGGAAATGCCATACGCACATTAACACTACTGCCTATCTTACCGAAATGCTTATTTTAAACAATATTTACGATGCTTTAATAATATATGCAAATTTAATATCAACATCCTTAAACTGGTCTATAACCAAGCTCTTGAAGCAAGTTGTTATGCTTTTCGAACGGCGCCCATCAACAATATAATTGACACTGGTCTCCCAGCTTTAGAAAATAGACTATGCGTTAAAAGCCGAAACCGTTCCCAAGTTCTTCAATTGAAAAAAATCCATTTTTGATGAAGATGTGAGAAGGATTATTATTTCCAAGAAAATTCGAAAGTCACCATCTGCAATTGACCATTGTTTTTACATCGTAAAGGAATTGAACATTTCCTTAAAAATTTTCCGCTAGTTCGGTCTTAAACCTCCATGGATTTTAAAAGACTACTCTTCTGACATTTCGCTCTCTATGCACAAGAAAGACGTCTTCAGGAATCTAATAACAGAAAAATCCACGTTCTGGAGAGTAACGGTTGGAACCTTTTGTATACAGATGGCTCAAAATCTTCTGGTCTGTCACCTGTTAGTGCCGTGGATCATGCTTCAGACAGGTTCTTCTAAGCCACATATTTCGCGAAAGTGCCTCAACTTTTACAACTTTCATGCTGCGAACCTGTCTTGTAAAGACAAACCAAAAACCATGATTGTTACTCCTAGTTTCTCTAGGAAGCTATATGGACTCCTTCGACTTCGAGATAGAACACCATCAACAAATTAAGGTATATCATTACAACACCCTGCGAAAAAATTAAAACGCTTTGTTATATCGGTTTATTGGGAAATGAGAAGGCTAATCGAGCGGCGAAATATGCTGCTTCTGCACCTCTAAATATGGATGATATCATGGATAAGTTGGATCTTCAAATATAGATTGGAAAAAAAGTTAATGAGAAAATTACAGAAGGAAATCTACAATACCATCATCAGGACTACTCTTCTATTAACCCCCAATGAATTCCACCTTTATATCTAACAAGTGTTGAGAAAATCAAGGTCCAAACCTTTTCGAAAATTCGCCTTGACCATACAATTGCAACTCACCAATGGATCTTAAAGAAGTCTTCCTCCCCAATCTGCAAATTGTAGACAAATTCTCACTATAAATCACCTTCTTTGCGACTGCCTTGACACTTAACCTACCGACATGTCATGTATACCTATTCCTACCATGAGCGGTCAAATGACCGTTTCAAAAAAAACATATTAAAGCAGACAGTAAACAAAATATTTTTCTGAGGCTACAATAAAAACTCGTTCCCCGTTTTTCGATGTTGTATGTTTTATTTACTTTTATGCATTTTCATCACATTTTTTACAAATTACAGCATTTTGTATTGCACATTTTCCGCATACGTATTTTTTACATTTTATACAAATTTTATTTGTTTTGTTGACTTTACAATATCTTATTTGACAAGATCTTCGTTCAGAGCAAACAGTGTTTGTGTTTATTATTGTTTTTGATGAGCATTCTTGGCTTACCCGTTTCTCTTTCTGATATTCCGTCCCAAGTTCTTCTGTCAATTGAAATAAAAACTCTTGCCTCGATATTTCCTCACCCCTCGTTTCTTTATACGAAATCCAAGAATTTATCCCGGCTAAATCTAAGATACTGAAAAATTCCTGTAAAAGCCACCTTTGACATTTAGATTTTACACTATATTTTCTGGCCATTTGGTCGGTTACATCTACACCGAATTTTGTACTATTATAAACTCTAATTGTCGCTGGTATACGGGTGTCATTTTTTTCAATTTCAACGGATGAATGCCTTGAACTAAGTAACAATACTTTTTTATTTGGTTTAGCTTTATAAATTGTAAGAATAAAATCTTTCGATTTGTATAATATTATTGAGAAGCGTGTCATACTATCCTTTGCCTGCCTCGCTAATTTTGGTAGCTCTCTCTTACTTCTCCGGATAGTTCCAACAAGAGTAGTTCTCTTTGCTAGAAGTTTACGCGCTTGTAAAAAAATTTTCAACTGTTATATTTCTCCCATGGCCCGTATATGGTTCTGCTAATTTCAAAGTTATAAACTTTCCAAGTGGGATTGATGATTCTCTCCCTTCATCTTTTCCCAAATATGGAAAGCCGTTTACTTTAAATTTACTGCTTATATCGGAAGCTAACCTGAATTTTATGCCAAATTTGTCCGGTTTGTTGGGCATGTATTGAGTAAATCTATAACGTGCTTTTGTAGGAAACAATTGTTCATCTATAGCAAGATATGCTCCTGGTTTATAACAGTTTTGACTATCCTCTCCTTCATAATATTTCATTTAGCGTATCCTGTCGGTCCTGATATTTCCTTGAAAATATTACAAATCGATGTTCTTCCACTGTTAGATCCTTCTTTTATTTTTTTCCAAACAGTTCCATCCATAGCAGTTTCAATCTCTTCCTCATTTTCACTTTCGGAACTAACTATAAATCTGTTTCTTTTTGGTCCTCTTCGTATATTCAAAATATTTTCTTCGTCCGTATTGCTGCAGTATCATCATCAATATCGTAAACTTCTTGATCATCTTCCGAACAATCCTCGTCGATATTATTTATTTTATCTAATAAATTGATATTCCTCGAATGTCTTGACATGTTTGGGGATGAATATACAAATGATAAAGTAAAACCTAAAATATAAAAATATAAAAATATATATCAAAAGGTGCAAAAATATTCAGACCAGAAATAAAACAAAAAAAATGTAAATCATACCACCATACCAAGTCTGTTGAGTTTGTCGAAACTATCACTTATACCACGTAATAATTTTTATTATAAAATAATTATAATTTCTATTACACACTGAAATTTTGATGCTCTCTGTTCGTATCGCAAGACCGTACTGTCGTACAAAAAACGCTATGTTCTTTGTTCCAATAACAAGGAAAAAAATTCTAACCGCACACTTGTCTACAGTGTAGACATATTGATTAGATTTTAATCTACAATTATATTGTAGACTCGTAAAACAATTTCAAGAACGCGATTATCGAAGAATATAGTCGTAAATAACATAAATTTTTCAAACGGTCAAATGACCGCTCGTGGTAGACTAGACTTGGTACCATTTGTTTTCGGGAAGTACACATTAAAAAAAGTTGTAAAAATTGAAAAATAGGTTGTATGTATATTTTAGGAAAAGTCAATAAGATACATGATGATACAGTAACGTTATATGCGAGAAATTTTAAACGAAATTTTAAAAACGGTCATTTGACTGCGCATGGTAGGTTTAGTGTTAAGTTTTCCTTGGCTAGAAGGTTTGCATATGGAGCGACTAATACTATGGAAATTCTAAAATCAGCTACAGAACAGAATATCAATACAATATATTACTTTATTAACGCTACTGGGCTAAATGTCTAATGCACTTTTATAAATTAAAGCCGATAGCGTGCGATGGTAGTGTTCCATGCCTTCTTTCTTTTAGTCTAAGAATTTATTTCATCAATAATAATAAAATCGAGCATATAAATTATTTCTTAAAAATGTTGCGGAGAGACATGTGAAAATCACACTTTTCAGGTTTTCTGAATTTGATAAAAAGATTATTCCCCCACTTCTTGATAGTGCACTTAAAAACTTTGTCAAGAAAGTGGAAAATTACTCGTATAGCGGCCAAGAGAAGACTAAACGCTTTGGGACTATGTTTTATTGCTACTTTATCGATCAGTCTGAATCGGAATAGTCAACCGAATCGTATGGTATCGATTCGAAATGGTTATTTAATTTTATGCCCAAAATCCTTAAAGAAAAATTCTTAAATGGTATTCCGTAATAAAAAATGATGGTCCATTTGAAATGACCTTTATAAAATCTTTTTATCCGGTCTGATTTTTTCAAAAATTAAAATATAAAGTTAGTATTGGCGAAAAACTATCTACGGAATGAAAAATTGTATCCTTTCCTTTCAACATCTTACTAAACGTACACGGACGATCGAGTAAGAAAAATCCGACGGAAATTTTCGAAATTCCTTCCTAGATTCTACATTCTCCTGACGAGTAGCGCTATCTGAAGGTGTAGAGAGTAAGCAGGCGTCTCTCACTAACACAACTGATTTTTAGAGGCGGTCACGTGGATCAAGAACAGTTGATATATCTCTAATGACAGTGAAGATAAAAGTCAAATTGTTTCGTTTATGTTTCGTTAAAGCAAATAATTCTTGCACTTTTCTTTGCAGATTTGGGATACGGCAGGACAAGAACGTTTTCGTGCTTTGCGTACTCCGTTTTATCGGGGTTCGGATGTTTGTTTATTATGCTATGCAATCGACGATCACGACAGTTTTCGTGGTTTGAAACAATGGCGTGAAGAATTTCTGCATTACGCTGACGTAAACGTAAAAAGTGAACGGTTTCCTTTTATCGTAGTAGGAAATAAGGTAGTTTTAAATTTCTGGTATTTTTCTTTAATAATTCTTATATAACAATTTCAGAATGATTTAGCCTCCCAATGCAGACAGATATCCAGTGATGAGGTAAAGCAATGGTGTGAAAAATTTCATGTTGTTAGTTATATAGAGACATCCTCGAAAGCAGCTACAAATATATCAGAAGCTTTTACATTGGCTATACGTCAGTGGAAGCGTATGGAACGCATAGCAGAAGTAGAATTAAAATCACAAGACATCATAGATTTAACGAAAAGTATACGCTTGGCACAAAATCGTTTTTGTTGTACAGGCGGTAGTAGAAATGTAAGTGGAAGTTTAGAGTCTGAAGACGAATCTATGTACTCACCATCACCTAGTAGATTTGGTAGGCGTTCGTTGCCGAAGCCAGTCGAAACGCACTATCAACTGTAGAAGTAGACAATAATTAGTCACAAAGCAAAAGTAAACAAAAACTTTTTTTTTTTTAACACGATGTTTAACTTAAGTCGGAAAATTCATCCCGAGATATCCAGTTTTGATTTTATTTTAGAAAATCCCTAAATATGTATTATTTTGGATTTTTAAATTATTTCCTTATACGCAATTTTCAGCAAAAGGAATATCTGTTTGGTATACGATTTAGTTAGGTCTTAGATAGAATGAAAACATAAGTAAATACGATAGAAACGGACATAGAGGAAGTAGTTTCCTTTTAGTGAATGTATTAACTAAGCATTGATACTACTGACAATATTAATACAAGACAAATAAAGTTTTGCGATCCAGAATAGCCAAAATTAATGAGCACTACTACAACAAAAGACATCATTAACTATTGTTTCGAAAGTCATTTCTATATTTGCAGCATAGGGCATCCAGTCGAAAACTTTTAATACCACTTGTATATTCTTCATAATTCTGTCACCGAATGAATTTATTAATGCAGTCGCCAGCGTTGTGCCACAACTATAGCAAGATCTCTCCGTAAATAAATTGGACCATACCGCACAAGAGCGTAGAAGTCCAAACGCAATATTTTCTGAGAATTATTCTGTCGCGTTCGGTACAGACTATTAAAGGTAGGTTTAAGTAGAATCGGTTAACATTTTATTTCTGCTAAGACTTATTCGCAAGTGAAGTGTTGAACTTTTATCTTCAATCGAAGCAACAGTTTGCCACTTCCGAAGCTAGTTCTTCTGTTGAATTTCTCTCGCCGTACCTACATCTCAACTGCGAATGAAAAATTCTTTTCCTTCAAAACAGATGTTCTCAAATCAAATTTTTTTTTTTTTTTTGATATGTTGAATGGAGAATCAGATTTCTCAAAAGTACAAAATATTTACAGCAAATGCAAGTTCGACTTAACCATTAGCTGTTTTTTTTTTTGTACGCAAGTGTCAAAAGTACCACGAATTTTCGTCAAGCAATTAAAGGTAAGGAGGAAGGAGAAACAAAGTCTTGTTTGAAATCATATGTTAAACGCACAATCTCTATTAAAGTAGTGTGAAGAAGTAAAGAACAAGAAGAAGAACAAAAAAGTAAAGAAGTAAAAAAAGGACAGTTCAACGACATTTTTAACTTTATTAAAGCGAGGCATTCAAATAGGGTGTAAATATAAGCGTGGTCCTATCGCTCTATTTTATCTCATTTTTGCAAAATGTTATCCTTTTCGGCAGCACGCTAGGACTTAGACAATTACAATTATTTGTGCAAATTTTGTCATTTTTCCTGCTTCAATCCCAAACAAGTGATACATTTGTTTAGGAGCCTCAGGGCGGTTCAACATCATATAAAAGGTTTAGGAAGAGGCCTTCCATGGATTTAAATAAATCGGTATTTGACACAAGCTGGCACTCTTTGCTCTAGGACCGAAAATGATGTGGCAGTTGTGCAGTCAAATTATACGTACGAACTCTTGGCATCTAAATCCCCTTTTTAAAGTTTTTATTAACATTTTTTTCCTCTTTAGCGAAACGTATATGTGTGCCTTTCACCTAAGTAAAAAAATCATAAAATATCATCCTGTTTATTAGTGCACAACAATACCTAAAGTGATAAATGATAAACATTTACTTAGTATCATTTAGTTTATGGATAAACGACGTATAGTTAAATTGTACTAAAATGATGTAATGCAAAAAAAGTGTTCACTTAATAAATGAACCCAAAAAAGACGTTTAGTATTTGACAAATTATTTTAAAATTTTGAATTTACTTTTCGAGCGTGCATATTTCTCAGTTGATGTCTTAAATACTTTTTGGTAAACAATGAACTTTTTGGTGAACAGCTTTGTTCACCTTTAAGCGAATCCCTTTTTATGCTCAAATAAGCTGAAGTTATTTATTTGTTCAATTTTTCATTTACAGTTTCACTTCATTTCGTTTGTATTTTTGTATGTATTTTTAAAAACTCTGAAATATTTATTACGAACCTGAGCAATGTAAGCACCGGAAGTATTGCTACTCTACTTTCTGAAATTTAGGTGTTTGTTTAAGACAAGCATTTGAATTTGTGATCACAGAAATGCGGCTTATGTATTTCATTTGGCTTGCATTTCAAATAATATTCTTTTAAAAAGCGGAATAAATGTTAAAATAGATTTCACGAAACCAACAGCAGTAGGTTGCAATAAGAAGATTAAAAGTGACAGGTTGTGATTGCATGTTAAAGAAAAATTTATTTATTTATAAAAAATAAAATTCATAAAAACATTTGAAAAATTTCATTTAAAAATAATTATTTTATATTTTTTTGTTTGGTTTTAACAACTTATATCGATTTGTTTAGAGCTTTGGTGAGGTCTTTAATAGCCCCTACCAAGGCTTGTTGTACTGTTAGGTGATCTTCCCAAAATCTTCGTTCGCGTTCATCTCTTTGTTCAATACTTGCTCTCAGACTGTTTATAGCACTATACATTCTTTGTTTGGTATTGCTCTTATTACATGTGCGCTTTGTCTGTGATGAAATGTCACGTGTCTCGGGTGCGGTTTCATAGGTCTCTTGTTTAATGTTATGTGTTTTCGGTGCGATATCAAGCGTCTCTTGTGTGAAGTTATATATCCCTTGCTTTATGTCGTTTGATTTTGGCTCGATGCCATGTGTTTCTTGCGTTGTTTCCGTCATTTCCTTCATATCTCCGATATCTTGAACGCGCTATAATAGATAAAACAAATGCTTAATAAAGTTGAAAACAAAATATAAGTAACATCTTACCTTCGACGAAGTTTCCATCCTAATAGATGGAAGGCTTGAGAGCCCATCGGCAGCAATTGCCCCAAACGTCGCCAGAGCTCTTTCCTCAAACCTTGTCATTTTATTAAACTTTCTTAAGGGCTGACCGCCTTTACTTCTCAATAAAATTTTATTCTTTCGGACTCTCGACCGCAATTGATTGTTTAATGTCTGGAAAATAAAAATGACATCATAACAAAAAAATGCATTTGTGTATACTTACTTCTTTCCACTTTTGTGTATTCCTGGTCGGTCCTGTCAGATCGTTTAGATTCCCAGCAAGTTCCTCCCACAGTTCTTTCGTCTGGCGGGGATTTGCTGAACTTATCTTGTTTTGTAAAACTCCCGGATTTTTTTCAACATACGTCACGTAATATTCCAATTGCTCTTGGGTGCATCTTTGACAGCTGTTTGACTCTGGTGTGGTGTCGTTTACCTCTTGCTTTACGTAATTTTTTTCTGGTGAAATTGTTTCTTGCTTTGTGTACAGTGTTTCCTTCATACTCTTAACATTTTGAGCGCACTATATTGACAAACAAATGTATACTGGATATAAAACCAAAACAGCAGTAAAATATTACCTCTATTGGGCTTTTCACGTCCGTACATCGGACACTTGGCCGCCCCTTAATGGCAATCGCTCCAAATGCCGCCAAAGCCCGTTCCTCAAACATTGCCATTTTATTATAATTTCTCAGTTGTCTTCCCTCTATCGAGTTTAACGAAATTTTACCCTTGCGAGCCCGGGATCTTAGCTGATTTCTCCAATGCTTTAATGTCTGAAAAATAAAAATTATATAATTATAAAAAAAAAAACACATTTCTGTGTATATACCTCTTTCCACTTTTGTATACTTCTGGTAGGACCATTCATATCGTTTAAATGTTTAGTCAATTCTTCCCATAGTTTTTTCATCTGCTGCGGATTTGCTGAATTTACCTTGTTTTGTAAAAATCCTGGATATTTTTCAGCAAACGTTACATAACACTCCAATTGCTCCTGGGTGCATCTTTGGTAGCTTTTTTTTTTGTCTACGCACGCGCAAATTGATATGTTAGTTTTTAAGTTATAAGAATATATTAATAAGTTACTTTTAACTTGCTCCATTTTTTAGATTCTTTTTTTTTTGCTGACACCTCGATTTGTGAGTTTCAACCTTAAAAGTACCTTACAAGCCTTAGTCCGTTGTTGTGACCGATCACTATTCATGAGGGTTTGAGAAAGATTTTTCTTGTCATAGTTTTTGTGACCTTATATCAAATCTCGTATTGCATAGAAATAGTCACAATGAAAGTCTCCATTATCAATTCTATAACAAAACAGGGTTGCTAAGTTGTGCAAATTACCGCAAACTACCGCATTCATGTTAAAAGGCAAAGAAATTTTATCAAAGTTTACACTTGCAATTAATCTGCGAATTTATTTTACAGCACTTGAAACTGCGACGCTGTACTCATTGAAATTTTATAATTTATTTCCATAAATATTTGATAGGATCCATGATCCAAAGAAAAAGTTGGCTTAGTTCTGTAGTCAAGTTTTTGCTTTGCGGATAAAAACAATAGTGCCAGCCGTAAACAAAGAACGTAAGTCTTATTCTGCCGGTTCCGTATGATTTCTAAATCATCTTTACCGAATACTATATAGAGGACGAAAATTATACCACATGCATTAATCATCAGTTTCAAGAGCTGTACAACTCGTTGATTAATTGTAAGGATTTGTGACTATTCAATCTGTAAATTGCAAAATTTAACAACCCCGTTTTAACGCAAAATTGATTGACCAGAGTTTTATTGTGATTATTACTTGTATTGGTTCGTAAACAAAATTTGAAACAGGGTCACAAAAACTGTGACGAGAAAAAGTACTAGCAAGCCTTTATCAATAATGATCGGTCACAATACCAGATTACGTCTATAAAATAAGTTTAAGGTTGAGAACAACTAATTACAGTGTGAAAAAAAGAAAGAAAACGGTATTAAAATTGAAGCAAGTTAAAAGTAAGTTATCAATATATTTTTGTAATATAATAGCCATTATTTTATTTTGCGCATGCGTACATCACAAAAAACGGTTCCAAAGATGCACGCAATAGCAAGTGGAGTACTATTTAAACAGTCTCGTACATGGCCAATTTTTATACAAATACAAGTTCAAGTATTGAGAATTGTAAACAAATTCAGACGCTTATTCTCACATTTTTCGAATTATTGAGAATATAATACGCTTATTCTCGTATCTGGCCAATTTTTATACGCTTATTCTCGTACATGGCCAAATTTTTGTTATCAAATTTTTACCGTTGTATGTGTTGGAGTTTATAAGTCACAAGCGAAAAACGAAATTGTTATTTTTAAAAACGGAGGTGCTCTCGTTTTATGTTGTTTTGCGGACGTGCCGTTTGACCGATTTATACCCATTTTCAATACTAATCTGCGTGCCATGGCTTGGAATGTTTCTGCCGAATTTTCACCACAAACGGACTTGCTTAAATCAATTTAGAATTTGATGCTGATCAAATATGTATGTGCTTCAAACACACATATGTTCACATGTTGCAAACGGATGGACAAAGCAAATGTAATGTCCTGTTTTCATCGTTAGTTACAATCCGTTCGTTATCTTTAGCACTTTTCTTTGAATTATATCTGTGATCTTCGACGCTAATGCAGGTTTGACACTTGTATGTTACTTAATGAAACAGCAAAATACTATTAAAATGCGATATTCCAAATTGCATCTGTAGGTTAAACATAAGAAAGCGAGATGGACGGACGGATAAAGAGGCAAGCTTAAATCGATCCTGAAAGTGATTTTAAGTCAATCGGTCTAAATGTTGCAGACGTTGAAATGAATTTAATACAGCTTTGTCCAAGTGGTGTAGGGTATAATTAGTTCAAATCTACAAGTATATGCACTTGCATGGATATGTTTACTGCTGGCAATGGTGAAATATGTGTCTAAGGAATAAGTTATCTATGCAAATTTATTCAAATCACTTGTACGAATATATGTAAAAATGAACACCAAATATTCAAAAATATGCGAAAATCGAACGGCAGGTCTATAAAAATGGACAAAAGCCAGTTTAAGGGAAAATAAATGCTGTTTTTTCACACAATTCAATAAAAGATTGCAAATTTATTCAAATCACTTGTACGGATACATGTAAAAATTAACACCAAACATTCAAAAATATGCGAAAATCGATTGTAGACTAGCTTGCGCTTGTTTGTGCAGAGTATCGAATAGTACCAGCAGTAAAGCGCCATTTAGGGCGGAAGGTCTGAAATAGCAAAATACTATATATTACAAACATTGCTGAGAAAAAAAATTAATTATGAAATTAATGAAAAGTGACATGAGAATATATTATAAACATGTATTTTATATGTACCGTACGTTTTTTATTTACTAATATTAAAATACAATTTCACCTATTCGATGGTGCAACCAGTAAGTTTAAGTAAACATTACCAGTAGTTAAGACCTACACTAATTGGAAAAACAAATTTTTAGCCCTGTAACACAGTTGAGAAATCTACATAAGCCATTCAATTCAACATCATTAAATAGGGGCGTAATTTTTTATACTCTCAAGCATTGTTGAAATTTATGAAAACTGCAATAACTCCCTGAAAATCTTCAAATCTAGCGCAATATTTTTCAATTCTAAAAATGGACTTTTATTAACTTTTATAAAATATCTTTTCGGTGCTTAATAAGAAAACATCTCACACGAAGAGTATATTAAGTGTTTATGAATTAATGACAAATGACGGTTACGGTGACTATTAATCTAGTTTATAAATAAACATTGTTCTTTGGCAATAGCGCTTACGACAAAAACAATAGAGCTTGCGATAAAAATAATAGATCTTGCGACAAAAGAGTATATATATATTCATGTTCATGCAAAAGCTTCAATTCACATTTTGAAAGAATTCCAAAAATCCATTTGAAGCCATATTCGCAACCTTTAATTGCACGACATAAGCTTTGCTTTTTACTAATTCTTACAATTTTTTTTAAACGTGCTCATACCCTTCCATTTATGGTAGTTAATTTATAAAACCAAATCTAAATTTACAAATTTATAGAAATGCAAACAAATTTTGCAACGTTGCAAAATTTCGTAACGAATCAGATGAAAACGTATCTTTTGTCGGCTATTATAAAAATACTGTATAAAAAGAAGTACTGCGTGTTTGCAGTACGGTACAAAACACTTGCAAAGTGGTACCTTTTTTCTTCGGAAGGAAACCATTGACGCCAAACGAAGGTTGTAGTAAAATTAACATTTAATTTGCACTTAGAAAATATTGATTATTCAATTACCTTGAGAAAATCTCCAATTAAAGAAGTATAAAGTTCAAGTAAAAGATTAGAAAAATTATTTTCATTTTATATTATATAAATCTATATAAAAATAAAATATATATAAAAGAATGATTGAATGATTGCTTTTACTTTAAAATTCACATAAGGCATTAGTTTCTACAAACAGCTAATAACCAAACCAGTACGGTCTAAAAACAGCTAATAAACCAATACCCTCTAAAAACCTCTTAAATCCACACTTAGAATAAATCAAAAAACCGTTTATCGTTGTAACATCTAAAATATTTGTATAGTATTTTAGAAAAAAATAAAACAGTATCCGAGATCCGAGTAGTAGTAGTACCATGTGTACTTTGTTGCTTTTCTTGCAGTGGCTTACAATAGCTTTAATTATTACAATTTTTACCCTGAAGTAGGAAAAATTAACATAATTGGGTTTTCGGTGAATATTGATTGAATATTGATAGTACATCAGCAAGCATACACACAAAAGAATGCACACCCAATTTGTTGAATCTTGTTGAATCTTTGTTTTGCCGACGGCTTTGCATTTTAACAGAGTGTTTTGTCTGTTAAGTTGGACAAAATTCTTTTTGACGCTATCTTAGAATTTATTCTCTGGCTAAATTTATAATAATAATGATAATAATTTTACAAGTAAATCTAAAAGTAGAGCGCCATAATTTTTTTTTTTATTATCAAATTAAACAAAACAGTAGCTAAATTTTCTGTTATTTACAGAGCAAACGTAATACTCTATGCTAATTTACAGAAAGAACGTAATACTCTATGCTCTTTACAGAGCAAAGGTAACACTCTATGCTATTTACAGAAAGAACGTAATACTCTATGCTAATTTACAGAAAGGACGTAATACTCTATACTAATTTGCAAAGCCGTCGGCAAAAGTCCCCAATTTGTTCCAAATTCTCTGCTAATCTATAAAAACATTTGTTGAAATTCTTTATAAACAAACAAACAATTTGGCAATTTAACAACAAAAACAACAGTAGTAGTGAATAAGTAGTGAATAAAGCATATAAATAAAGAAAATAAAGTGAAAATAAATAAACCGTTTATATACAAGCCGTTTATAAAATTGCGGTTTTTCTTCACTTTTTTAACTTTAAATTAATTTACATTAATTTACACCTAAAGGTAAGCAAGCAAAACCAACGTTAAATTCTCTGCTAATTTACAGAAAGAACGTAATATTCTATGCTAATTACAGAAATGCTTTGTGTTAATTGCAAAGCCGTCGGCAAAAGTCCCCCATATTCATTAACAATAAACTCTAGAGCACAGGGCTGTTATTTTAGGTAAATCGATACAAAAAAAAAAGCAATTGTTAATAATAATTAGTATTTAATTGCTAAAAGTTAATAATTAGTATTTAATATTGGAAGTTTATTGTATTTATTGTATTGTATTTATTGTATTTATTGTATTATTGGACATTTAACAGATTGAATGGGGTTACCATATAACTTGTTGAGTTGGGCTTTTAACCATTTATTTCTTATAAGCGGCTCTGTGCTTTGCCTTTCAACAGGGAATTTAGCGAGGACTTTGTTTAAAAATTATGACGGTTTAATTCTAAGCTAACTTGTAAAATAAAATAAATAAATCATTAAAAATCATCTGCTCCAAAATTAAGTTTGCAATATTTGATGTATTCAATTAAAATTTCGCGTCAAAAAAGTGGAAGTTCCAGTTTTGTATGTGTTCAATTATCACAAACATTTATTATATATTGTTTTTGAAAACTGAGTTTAAAATTTTTTTTTTATAACGAGGTACGTAATATAATAAGAGAAGTAAATAATAAATTAAATTCATATATGTATACATATATAGATATTCTTACCTCTTAGCATAGAAACGATTTTTACACAAATACTTGAACAATATTAAAAATTGTAAACAAATTGGACTCTTATTCTCACATCTTTGGAATTATTGAGAATCATTTTCAGTTGAAGGCAAATTTTTATACGCTTACTCTCGCATGCACGCAATTTTTGCATAAGTACTTGAACAGTATTAAAAATTGACTAAAAATCTTTTAAAAG